AAAACTGAGAAAAACATCTTCAAGCTAGAAGTTTATTTTACAGGACTAAAAGTTCCTCTTTAATAGTTGTCCGTCATTGGGGTTTACTACCCTCCGAAGTAATTTTCGAACGGAAAGTCTAGTCCTAAATTGGTTCGCATTTATCAAACTTTTGCTGTGTTCTTACGCAAGAAAGTACCATTTCAGTTCTAAAGAATCTATCCTGAGCTATACGTTCGGTAGATTACTCTTATTGAGTTTCACCATATTCAGTAGTTAACTGCGGTTTTGTCTCAGCTTACTATTCGTTTTTTTTGTTTTTCATGCAAAGATTAGTTCAATTCGTCTCACTCCTTTTTATTCATTTTTTCCGTTTACAGTGTGCTTCTTAGTGTATTTTTACGGTTTCAGGCTTTTTCAAGCATCTGTAACATAGTTTGCTTCAACATAGTCATGAAAAACTCATGTAAATGTCCGGGATCCCGTTTCGCTGTTACAACTGGCATGTAGTGCGACAACTGCAATGTTGGTTCCACGAAGCGTGCACAGATCTAACGGCAACTGCTCACAATAGACTCAGGAAATCGGATCAAAAGTGGGTATATGTCACGTGCAGCACGGACACTGTGGTCTAGCTGAGTAATATCATCGTCCTACAGACGTCTGCGGAACACGTTGTCAGCGAAGTTGAATAACGACAGTAAAAAAACGGTCAGACAAGCAAGAGCGCGCAATGAATACAAGAATAGGGATGTCGACAGGTATACCATCGATGAAGCAACCATTAGCACTAATGATGATGTGTTTAAGCTCAGCACCATCAATTCGTCGACGGTAATAGACTCTCTGAGTAAACTCGGGTCTCCCAGCTCGGGGTCCCTGAACACAACAATGGTTCCTATAAACTTTGTAGGTGATTCGCCCCACGTTAATAGAGTCCAAAAGAACCAGGCGTCACTGCCTAAGCTGATCATCCCAAGTATTGTTGTATGGAAAACAACTGGTGATTTGGTCGTACAGTCTACCCCCAAGAATGTTCGTCCGGTCATCAAAGAGCTCAAGATTCAAAAACGTGCCTTGACCTTCAAACAACAAGGTATCAAACATGAACCCATTGGTGAATTAACAACGTTTCGTGACGATTCTCTCATAATCATGAACCTCATTGACAACCCCGACCTTCCTATCAGTTTGCAGGACAAAAATGATAAGATGCTCTGAGGCGAATTGAACAAGAAGCTCGAACTTCCTAGAATAAAGCTACTGACGGTCACCCAGCTCACTCGAGGAAAGGATTCTAAGTATCTAAGTCACTCGAGGCTTCTTCGAGTAATACTTAATAATGCTATCGACGTAGAGGACGTCTTGCTAGCAAGCCACTTGCTGAAATCCGACGGAAACGTAAGAATAATGCCCGACATACCGTACTCTGAGCGCAATCTCATCCGGAACACCCTTAAAGAATCTTGCGAGAAGTTTTTCCGCGGAAGAAACATATTTGTGCAAGGTATACTGGAAAATACGGACCCTATTCAATCAAACTCTGATATCAGGTAATGGAAATTCATCAAACAGTCTTTGAGGCTCGAAAACATACTGACTCAGCATGTGACGAGACTAGCCAAAAAGGATGGTGACCCTAGACCCCGGCTAATGAAGATAACTTTCCCATCCCTCCACTTTGTGGCTCCAATTCTGGAAGCATTTCGTGCCAATAGACGTCGGTCTCTACCTGGAATCCACATGCACCCGGATAGGCCATACGAAGCTAGGACCAAGCACAAACGCAGGTTGAGGCTGACTGTCTAGATTATAAAAAAACGTTTAAAGGACAAGGGCAACCAACTCGGCAAACCTCATATAGGTGGGCTACCTGTCCATTCACGTAAGGCTCATACAGACAAACAAGATGAAGCTCACGCATTCGAAATTGAAAGCATAAACTGCTTATATACGAACGCCGCGAGTCTACCAAACAAATTGTATGAACTACGTGAACTTAGCAACGCTAATAAAGCCCATATGATGAGAATATCTGAAACTTGGATATTTTCTCAATACGCGGAACAAGAGTTAGCAATACCTAAGATGTCTTTGTTTCTCAACGACAGAAAATCAGAAATAGGGGGCGGAGTAACCGCATACATACGTTCTTGCTTGGAGGTGCACCAACTTCATAACCTCGAGTTTAACAATCTTGAGGAATCCATATTGTGCCCTGTGAGATTGTACAGTACTTCGAGGTGTCTAGTCGGAGTCATTTACAGGAAGCCAACTGCCGACATCGAGCACGATAGTCGTATGCTGGAAGGACTATCCCGCTCTACTCGTCTCGGTTTCACACACATTCTGATTATAGAGGAAGTTAATTTCCATAGAGTTAACTTCGCGTAACACACGTATACTGGATGGCGAAAATTCAATTGAAGCTCTTTTCTTCAACCTCATTGATGACTTGGGATTATACGAAAATGTGAAGTCGGCAACTCGTTGGAGAAACAGTCAAACGCCATCGCACTTAGACTGTGTATTCACAAAAGTAGAATTCCTAGTTGACAACCTATCAATCTTGGCTCCCCTGGGAAAAAGTGATCATGCCGTCATAGCCTTCAGTCTTTTCACCAAAACTAAGCTAATATACCCCACCAATATCTCGCGTTGGAGTTTTAAACGATTGAATGTGCCAGCTCTACAAGTCTATCTACAACAGGTGATTTAGGATGTTCACCCCCAACTCGACGTGGACGTGCATTGGGACTTCTTACTGCACACGCTCTTACATTCTACAAACCATTCAGTTCCTCAAACGGTTCACAAAAGCTGCAAGCCACCTACAATATTCAAGAACCGTACCCTTCGCCTGCTAAGCCGCAAAAGGCACTGTTGGGCGGAATACAAACGAACTGACAACGATGGAGCGTATAGGCAATATAAACATATCAGGAACATATGCATGAAGGCTATAAGAGAAGACAGGCTTCAGTACCAGACAAAGCTTATGGACAAATTTGCCTCTAATCCTAAAAGCTTATTCCGTTATGCAGCCTCTCGTCGTCGAGCCAAAACTGGATTTTCCCAACTGCTAGGTCATAACGGCCCGACCAACAACGATGGTGACGCCGCTAACCTTCTGGCTGAACAATACTCCGAAACATTTCAACCGACCGACATTAACTTTACTGATGACAGTTTCTTTTGCAATTCCACAGGACTTTCCGAGGTGAACCTAAGCGCTGACTTGGTGTTCCGGAAACTGCAGCACTTAAGATTATACACTTCTCCTAGCCCGGATATGGTCCATTCAGTCATACTGAGGGAAGCAGCCTCAATCCTGGCAACGCCGCTTAGCGTGATGCTCTCACAGTCGCTAAGTCAAGGCAAACTACCGGAAAATTGAAAGTTGGCTCACATCACACCAATTTTCAAAGGAGGTCAACGCAATGAACCTCCAAGTTATCGGTCGGTGGCTCTTCTATCAATACCTCCAGAAGTCGTTGATATGCGACGGTTTAAAAGGCTATATGCTATCCTCAAATTTCTTCTCACCCCAACAGCATGGTTTCAGGAAGGGTTACTCTTGTATAACCAACCTGCTGACTGCGGTGGACAGATGGACAAGCATCCTCGATTGCAAGGGAAAGGTTGACATCATCTACCTAGATTTTTCAAAAGCTTTTGATAAGGTTAACCATTTATGTCTTATCAATAAGCTCAAAAAACTAGGTATCAGGCCACTTCCAATCGATTGGCTTACTTCATACCTGAAAAATCGACATTTTAAGGTTAGGGTTAATTTCACTTTATCACAGGCTATGGAATGTCCTAGTGGGGTCTCCTAGGTCTCAGTAATAGGACTTCTTCTCTTCTTGATCTACATGAATGATCTTCGTCAACAGGTAACGTCACATTTATTACTTTTTGCCGATGACGTTAACCTTTGGAGAGAGATACGCAACCAAGACGATATACAGACACTTCAGGAGGATCTGACTCGACTTCAAAGTTGGACAGACGATAGCCGACTTACCTTTAACACTTCAAAGTGTAAAGTAGTCCATCTGCGGCATGTCGCAGACTACATTTATAACTTAGGAAATTCCTCTCCAGAAGTATCCCGAGTCGAAAAACATTTAAGAATCCTGGTGCCCCATGAATTAAAGTCTTACGCTGTGACAAAAATGCCTTCCGAGCAAACCTTGCACTGGTAACGTTGAAGCACATTTTAGGACAGTTTGACGGAAGAACGCCCCATATAATCTTCTATGGTTTTACCCGTCTCCATTTAGACTACAGAAACATAGTACTTCCCCCTCACTCCAAAAGGATAAGGTAACTTTGGAGCGTATCCAACGGTGACTCACGAAATCAGTTCGAGGACTCAAATTTAAACCTTACGAAGAACGCCTTCAGTCACTAGACCTTTACCCATTAGAGTATAGGCGTCTTAGAGGTGATCTATCAATGGCTTATAGTATTCTTAACACTTCTGGACATCCTCTTAAACACCTACTTAAGCTTAGTTCGAACATTAATCTAAGGGGTAACACCCAGAAACTGGAGACAAAACATAGCAAAACGGAGTGCAGACATAACTTCTACTCCTTAAGAGTCGTCAAAATTCTGGAACTCGCTGCCGGCCGAGGTAGTTCAAGCGACTTCCCAGGAGTCCTTCAAGAGGCCACTTGACCTATTCTTAAGGACCAAGGCAAGCATCATACTATGATTTATCAATTTCTTTTTCCTCTTTTATTGTTAACATACCTAGGTTCCTGCTTGGAGGATTTGGTGATCCCGTGCTACTAGACACGGAAGCCTATTAAGCAGAAGCTTCTTCTATTCCGTTCACAACTATTTGAACTATTTGAATTTAGACAACTTCATTTACAGTTGATTAAAGAAAACTTTTATACCTGGTGACTTGAGGTTATACATAAAAAATCCAGTGATTCGTTTGATTCAAAGAAAAGTGGTTAACCAAATATTGTATATTGAAAATGCAACTGAAGGCACCACTTGTTTTTATAGATAGCCTCGGTATTATTTGAGGGTGGGACTATACTTCTTGGGTGCTGTGTATTCATTCCTAAAATGATTGGGATAGAAGTAAAGGGACGCCTAAATCAATACGTAAAGGTAAGTAATGTATTTGCACATTTATAGCATTTTTAGGCTGTCCTGCGCAACGTAGTTGACGACAACGTGATTGTCTTCTACCCGGAAAAGTGGGTTTAAGTCATGTTTTCCATTCCTCTCTTTCAGGAATGAAGAGGAACAGGTTCCGATCAAAAATGTTAGACTACCCCCAACTTCCGAACGGTTAGTTTGCAAGCAGTATTAGTAGCTCTATAAAATGGTCGTGTCCTACATACATAATGCACAACATAGCATACTTCAAGTTCTGAATACAAGGTCATAGCCACCTCTAATTGTCAACGGTGTTATAGAACTACCGGCAATTAGAAGTGGTCAGCTCCCTAGCGTCTAGTTTGAAAGACCTAGGCAATCAGTCCTTGATTCATGTCAATGCAGATCGTTTCGTTACTGCTGTATAAGCATCCAAATGTAGTTCAAGTTACCTTTTTCTTATGTCCATAGTGTATTCGGGTGTGGTTATTCTATCGAGTTTGTTTTCTATTAAGAACACGATTCTTCACGAAGAGGCCACGTAGCATTCAAACACCCAACACTCGCCAAGTCTGCTTTCAAGTACGATGGGTTATATTATTCTGAATCTGAAAAGTGCTCAAAGTTCATTATGACTAAAGTCGTATTTCATAGGAAAAGTGGTGGAGAAAGTAAAAAAGTAAGACTGCGTCTCAAGAGAACTACCGGTTATATAGTGGAAAATTTTTTGCTAGTCAGTGAGAGACGTATGAAAATTTTAACTGCATAGACTAGAAGAGCCTCGTTAGTATTGCCTCATACGCAGAAATTCATCCTTCTCTTGTATGAGTTTATAGTACTTAGTGTTCTTATTTCAGTTTTCAATATGCACCTACTCTCTGCGTACTAACGAGTGCCTCATAGTGGCTTTTCTTGTTAAGAGGCTTCAACATCAAAAGCATACTCTCGGTATACCGAAATCCTACTGGCAGTTTTGTCCTTTAGTGTTAACACATGTTCTCAATAAGTTGTATTCATGCTTTTTTTAGTAACAAAGATATTGCCTGAAGACCTAGATATTCTTTTTTTCTAAGAACAAGATATTCCGAGTGGTCAAGCACATTTAAAATAGCCATCATCACCCGGTCTATTCCTTGACAGCTAGTTGTTTTCCACATTTCCTCGGTTGACATTTGCCCATAGTCAACCTAATTCCGTGTCTTTCTAAAAACTGGAATGTAGTTAATACTTTCTACGTAGTCTTGTCGGAATTTATAGTGCACTTACTGAATAAGCGTGTTTGAAGTCAAAATTTGTGCATGTATTTTGTGGTACTCAAAGTTCATTTAAGTTTAGATACCATCTCATACTAGTATTTATTCATCTGCCTACTGAGATAACTGCGTAAACGGCTGATCCACTAAGTTCTACATGACCTAAAGCTAGTACTAAATGAAATAAATAATCTGAAAAGCTTTTTCAGAAGTCTTTTTTTGCGTTTCCAGAGACGTTCATCCTGGACAAAACGGAGAAGCCCTATTTTCCGTCGCGACTGATCAGACTCCAGGTTCCTCTAGTAATACAATTACACTGACTGGCCGTTGGAGCGATGAAACTAATAGTAAACCGGAAGTTGAACTCATACTGGACGATCAGCTGAATTATCTTCCTATTCCATCTTGGTGGCCTTGTCGCGTTGTCAAGATTCGAGATGATGTCGCAGTGGTGAAGTTAAATGTGTCACCACCGGCCGATGCAACGCCCTCAGAAATTTCACTTTGTACACAGCTTTCTACTGTCACCGAGATCGTAAGTCGTAAGTCTCTACGTCAGCCCAGTGATGACTGCCCATGTCTGTCACCTGATATCATTCACCGGCATCGTATTGAAATTCCAAAGGAATTGGCAGACTTGTAAGTCTATTTTGAGCAATGGAGGCAGAGGACAGTTATGTTGTGTTCACAGTTGTTTTAATGTTTTGCTTTTTACATTTGATTGCTGCACTTGCCTTTGTACCACTTTGTAACAAAATGAACTCACAGATCGGGTTTTCGACATTTAGCTATTTCTGAAAATGACGCTTCGTGATAACTTTTGGTCGCTATGACATATCCTCTGGAATCTTGATATAGGGTCACCAGGTAAAGACAGAATTTTATCTTCATAAACATTGTAGAACAGTGACGCAAGTCCACTAGTTTTGCTCACAAAACTTAGTACCGTGGTGAAAAGTAGGTAGATTGTATTGGTTAGATGGCTATGTATGAGACTTTTCATAATAATTTTTTGGAAATAAAATTCCTAATCAGGACTATAATCATTATTTCTCGTATTTCACTAGCGTCCTTGGGGCATTTCTTTACTGAAATCACCGAAAACAATATCATTTTGGGTAACAATATCAACTCAGTTCACGATTTACTTGGATTTGATTACATGCTGGCTACTTTTTATTTATTTAAACATAAAGATTGGTGCAGGGGGGCACCAAATATTTTTACACTACACATCATTTGATTTATGTTTTGGCTGGAATATTGCCTAGGTTACCAGACCACTCCTCGAGCCTTTTACTTATAGGTCCGGTCCACAAGGCAGTGGGGCAACGTTAGGAGACGCGATCCCGTGGCCATGGTAGCCGATGACTAATAGTCGGTTCACGACGATTTTTTTCTCAGGGTTCATGAGCCCGTATGCACCACCGTTTTCGAATCAAGATTTTCCAAATTCCCTTAGTGAATTCCCAGAACCCACTAGCTTGATTGAAGCGTGGAGCGTTCGACTTCGTAAACAACAGCCTCACTGCGAGAAGGCAGTAAGACTTCCTTGCTAGTGGTCGTATTCGCGTGACTATATGAGAACATTTGGAGAGAGAGAGAGAGAGTGAATTCTTCCCACCTTCAACTGTATCAAAGCATGTCGGTGCTGGCTACTTTATGGGTCTTGTTTTGTTTTCTACTACATTATAAGTTACATCGTGATAAAATACTGTATACGATCACCATCGTCAATTATACTACTCACACTAGTTTCAAAACTTGAGATCCACTTATCTGACATCTTTTCTTACCTGAGCAGTAACTTTTCAAATCATTTATGTACTTCGAACCCTTAGGGACGTACTAGAAAATCAAATTTTAATGATGATAATTCACTAGAAAGCAAGTGGATAATAAAAGTGGTTGTATCGTTCATACTTCGTTTTTGAGTCAACGAATCTATTTATCTTAAAGTTTATCAGTTTGCCATAGAGCTCAATATTAATTTTCTATTTTTAGTGCTTCTGATCCTTCTGTCCACCATGACTTTTTGCGCCATTGTGGTGGCCCTGTAAGCCTACACTACGATAATGAGTCTTCCTGTTTGATCGTGTTAACGACAGACCCTGTAACAGCCAAGAATGTTGCCTTGTTGGAAGATACTCATTTAAGGATGTTGCGCCAAAAATGGGCCCTAACTCGAAGTCTTCGGCAAACTATTCGAAACCTTGAGGTAAGTGTTCATTCATTTCACACCGTAAGATGTAGTTCATTGTTTCTGTTGACAATCTACTAAATTTCATTTCTCAGAGCTTCTTAACCTTGGGGATTTTACTTTGCCAACAGAAGCTTAATAATGGTGCGAAATTCTCCATACCGTACCGCAGAAGTACATAAACCTTGTAAAAAGGCTCTTTACTCGAACACCAATTGAACCAGAGCTTATGGCGAACTGTCAACCTCAAGTGGTATCCATCAAGGCTGTCCACTTTCTCCACTTTTATCTAACTTCATCATAGACATACTGATGAAACTAACATTCTTGTCGATTGAATTCTCGGGTATTGATCTCCTACCAGGAGGTCCACTTATCGACTTAGAATACTCAGATGACATTGTCCTGTTTAGTGAAGACTGGTAAAATGCAGAGTCTTTTGGTAGCACTAAGCAACAATGCCAGGATGCTTGGGATGCGCTTCTCTCCCTTTAGGTGCAACATGTTGCTTCAGGACTGGCCTGGGTCAACACCTTAACTAAACATAGGGAGTGAAGTAGTCGTCGAACGCGTTGATAACATCACTTATCTTGGAAGTCTGATCAGCCCTAATGGGTTGATGTCTGACGAAATCTCCACACGGACTCGGAAAGCCCGTTTGGCTTTTACCAACTTACGTCACCTATGGCGAATGCAAGATATCTGTCTATCAATTAAGGGATGAGTATACTGCGCGGCAGTTCGTTCTGTTCTACTTTACAGCTACAAAATGTGTTCATTAAGAGTAGAAGATATTTGTACGTTACTAGTATTTGATTTCAGATGTTTTAGAAATATTGTTTGTCTGCTGGGATAACTGGGTAAGTAATAGTGGGGTTAGACGCACGGTATAAGGTAAATCAGTTGATGAGGTTGTAAATCTTCATCTACTAATGTGGTTGGGCTACGTGTTTTGTATGCCTGAACACAACTGTACTGAGCCACGTTGTAGGTGTAGACTACCTGGTTGGGGACCGCGAGATGATAGCAACCGATGGTTAGAGACCCTGGATGACATGGCTCAAAATCGTTTGCAATCGCGCAGGTGCATCCACTCTTTGTGTTCTCCCAAATTCTAATCTTCGGAATTCTTCATGTCTCTTTCTTTTTCCTCTTTCCAAATTTATTTCATTGGATTATACTCCTTGAACAACATCTTCAAATCCTAATATTTCTGATTATTGCTTATACTTTTACTACCTCTACCACTATGAGATTTGAATCGACAGAGGTGAGGCACTTTACTGAGGACCAACTTATATCTAGACCGATCATGAATATAACGGATTTTGGTGACCCGAAGTTTTGTCGTCGTTTAGATCGGACGATGTTCGTCGAAGGGCTCATCATTTTTGTGCCCCGAGGATCTGACTCCAATTAGATTGTATGGAAGATGGCTGGGAAGCCAACTCCATTTCAAGCTAGGCATTACTCAATATTTATAGGCAGACAAAATAAACGACAGACATGTGATGAGTCATGGGACATGAAGTGTACATACATACGCTCATATGAAAACAATCAAGGCTAATAAGCGAATAATTAACAAGGTCAAAATATGACTCAAATAGAATGAATAAAATGGAATGTCCGGAAACTAGAATAAGATATATTATGGGCTGAAACTAATGTCTAACACTACAGGACTACAACTGTCATTCACATGTGACAAACCAAATAGAATAGCACATAGTTCCCCTTCTTTCATTATTCATTACTATTCATGCTCTTATGCTACTCCTCTTCTTACTCCGAATCTCTCTAATCTTCAAAGTCGCATAATTTTTCCCATGAAGTCCCATTCGAATTTCTATTTCAAGTTGACAGATAACTAACCAACCCTATGAGTGCTTCTAAAATCCACCCGGTCGTAAGAAGCTTGTAATATAATAATTAAATGTGAACTCCTTAGTTCATGTTTTAAAAGTTAAAAAAACTTTTTAGCGTCTAAACGTTTCGTTTTCATACTTACTTTTCGTCTTACTCAGAAATTTTGCAACTCTTGATCAGTTTTCTTTATCAGTCACGAATACTAAATGTTAATAATACGAGAATAAGCAAACTGATGCTCCAAAAAGCAAATTTTGTTTACCATTTCTTCCCCATTCTCCTCTTTCAGTCAGTAACAACGTAGAACTTCGTACGTACGTACATCAGTTCGAGTTGCCACACCACATTAGCACAGAGATACAGTGGTCGATTCAAATCCCGTGATGCTAGATGTAGTAAAATTATAAGCTGTAATCAGAAAAATTAGGGTCTGAAGACGTTATTCAAGGAGTATAATCCAATGAAATAAATTTGGAAAGAGGAAAAAGAAAGAGACATGAAGAATTCCGAAGATTAGAATTTGGGAGAACACAAAGAGTAGATGCACCTGCGCGATTGCAAACGATTTTGAGCCATGTCATCCAGGGTCTCTAACCATCGGTTGCTATCATCTCGCGGTCCCCAACCAGGTAGTCTACACCTACCAACATGACTCAATCCACTTGTCAGTGACTTCATGGACTTGTGCCATGTTTTGGTTTGGCCGCTCCTAGCTTCTAGTCCACTCCTTTACCACTGAACATCGCACATCGAGGCAGTCGGTCGTTGGGCATACGTAACACGTGTCCCAGCCATCTCAACTGATGAAGTTTCACCACTTCGTCAATCGATTTGCCATCCTTACTTAGTACTCGTTTCCTAACAACTGCGTTACTTACTTGATGGTCCTAGGATAAACGAGCAATGTTTCGAAGACACCTATGATCGAATACTAGTAACCTACGAATATCCTCTACTATTACCGGTCACGTTCCACGGACGGAACGAACTGCTGCTCAGTGAACACGTCCTTTGGTTAATAGACGGATATCTCGCCTACGCCATAAATGACGCAAGTTGACAAAAGCTAGTCGAACCTTCTGTATCCGTGCTGATGAGACTCCTAAGATAAGTGAAGCGGTCGACACGCTCAACTACTTCACTCCCTATCATTAGTTCGGGTGTCAATGCAACCCAATCCTGAAGCAACATTTTGCATTTTGAGGCGGAGAATCGCATGACGAACATGTTTGCATTGTTTTTTAGAGTGATCAGAAGACTGCATTTTGTCAGCGTCTTCACCAAATAGAACTATGTCATCGGCATATTCCAAGTCAACAAGTGAATCTCCTGGTAGAAGTTCTACCCCTGGAAATTTAGATGAGAAAAGTGTCATCTCTAAAAGCACGTCGATGACAAAGTTAATTAACAATGAAGAGGGTGGACAGCTCTGACGAACGCCAGTTGAGGCGATCAATTCTGATAACAGTTCGCCATAAGCTCTCACTCGACCAGTTGTGTTCGAGTAGAGAGCATTTACAAGGTTGATGTACTTCTTTGGTACTCCTTTCAGTGACAAACACTGCCACAGAACCTCACGGTCAACAGAGTCGAATGCCACCTTAATGTCGAGAAATACTACCATTGTGGGACGTCTGAACGTGTGTCTGTGTTCTAGAACCTGACGTAGTGTGAATATCTGGTCTATACAACCACGTCCAGATCGAAAACCAGCCCGGTTTTCTATAGTCTGCTCTTCACGAGCTCTTGTTAGGCGTCGAAGTATTATTGAAGCTAATATTTTAGACACTATATTAGTCAAACTGGTTCCTCTGTAATTGTCAAAAGAGGACTTTTGTCCTTTCTTATAGACTGGCACAATCAGTGATTGAGACCAGTCAGATGGGATTGCGTTCAGTTCCCAAATTCTACCTAAGACCTCAGTTAATCTCACTGCTAATACTGAACCACCATCCTTAAACATTTCAGGAGTGAACTTGTCAGGGCCTGCTGCTCTCCCTCACTTCAGATTTCCGATGGCTTTTTCAACTTCGTAAAGAGTCGGAGGACCTGAATTAACTTACCATTCAGGTTGACTAAAGATCGTGGGAAACCGAAGTGTAGCTGAAGGTCAGTTGAACTGATGATGCTTCTTGAAGTCGAAAACCTTCTGATACGTTGAAATTAGTGCTTCTTTGACCCCTTTCTAGTTGTCCTCTATTATAGTTTTTTCTTTGAATAAATCTTGTAAGACTTGAAACCTGTTGTACAGAGTTGTTTTGAATTCGTTGAGTTTGTTAGTATCTCAAAGGAAGACGGTAGTAAACCTTTGTAATGCTGTTTCTCCAGTTGTCCAGTACTTGTTTACCTTCAGTCTCATCTTGGCAACCAACAGATGGTGATCTGTAGTTATTTCAGCCCCTCTCCTGATTCTCACGTTTTCCGTCGAAGTTATCGTGATGGAATTGTGATCGACCTGGTTCTATGTATTGTGGTTCGGTGAGTCCCATGTAGCTTTGTGTGTGCGTTTGTGGGAGAATATTGTGCCTCCTATAACCATTTTGTTAAATACACTTATTTGCAAATTTGCCACCATTCTCGTTGCTTTCTCCAAGTCCATGTCGTCCCATGGTATCTTCATACCCGGTGTTATCCATTTCGGCTTTGGTGCTTAGTCTCCCATCTGGATGGTCAGGTCCTTTCTAGAGTACTTCGCTGTGATCGCTTGCAGCCTCTCATAAATCCTATCTTTATCGTCGTCGTTGGTACTTAACATTGAATAACATTCGTTGTGACCCCCTCGTTCTTTGTTTTGAATGACGCTTTGATGATCCTGGGTTCGTGACATTCCCACCCTGGTCGTTGACACCATGCTCAACTCTTTCTTTACCAGGGCTTGGGATCGGTAGTAACTCTAGAAGAGCTAATGGCGGAGTTTTATCGACTACGTGTATGGCAGAAAATCAAAAGCTTTCACAGACTATTTTATGACCTCCATACAAATGTTAATCATTTGTATGCGATATGTTGTGTGGTAAATAGCGCATTTGCATTTTACATAAGTTTGTTAAGTTAATGGAATTATTAATAAAGAATATTTCACTCTTACAAAAATAAATGTACTTTATTTTTATGATCTTACCGTAAACATTTTTCAGGTCAATCGCGGACCAGATGTATCACGATCAGGTGGGGCAAAAAACTGCAGTGACTGGAACAGTGATCCTAGTCTATTTGTTGAAAAGTTTTTTGTTCCTCAACATCTCATGGGTTTAGCTATAGGTGCTCGTGGTGTAAATATTCGTGCTGCAAGAGAAATTCCCGATGTAATCCGTATCGAGTCATGGGAACCGTCAGAATATAATGCAAGAAATAATGACCCTGTCGATAATTCTGGAGATTATGGTGAAGCTGCGATGTTTGTTATAGAAGCCAAGGTATAACTTTGTCCAAAGTGATGATCTAGTGTTTTGTGTAAACAAAAAATGAGTTTTTGTTTGGCTAGCGTTATGTATTTTACTCAGTGGCTCACCCGTCTGTATGAGGCAGTCGGACTCACATTACTATGTCTACTGTCATTTCCATGCACGCATCCGTATTTCCCTTTTGTCCACATATAGGCCTTGCCTACTTAATTTAAACCAACTCATCACTCTTCTTACTTTTTTATATCGAACGACGGTATCAAGTCCTACGAGAAATTATTGAAAGCATAAGACGACCCTCGGAGTCACTTAAAGTTGACTTATGAGTTGGTATGTTAGTGATTTGAAGAACAAATTTCCAGCTGTTAATATGAAAAGATTCTGATCAGTGGATAATATCCAGTGATACGATGTGGCCGGATGATGGCTACTCAAGACCGAATTATTAATGTAAGTCTCTGTATAACTTGAGATAAAAGACAAGACCTAGTCTGATAATCACTGATGTTTGACGTAATCTCGACAGGAATTCAAAAATTCCAGTTGGCTAATGTTAACTTATGTCTCTTGAGATGTAGTTAAGATATCCATCTACCAACTGAGGGACGAGTTGACTGCGCAGTAGTTCTGTACATCCTACTTTAAGTCTGTGAAGGATGGCCATTAAAAGTAGATGATATTCATAGATTACTAGTATTCGGTCATACGTTTCTTCGTGTGCTTTAGGACAGTTGAGTTGAGGATTCTGATGTTAGACGCAGAGTACTAGGTAACAACGGCAAATCAACTGGCGATGTGATGAACATTTGCCGACTGAGACAATTCGAACACGTATTGCATATACCCATTCACTGACTTCCACGACGTGCGATGATGTCTGGTGTAGGAATAGGTCGGAAGAAAGACGGGGCGACCAAACCAAGACATGACATCAATCTACGAACACACCAACTGTTGAACTGAGTAATGTGGGTGCGTGCATGCAATTATTGTAACCAATTGTAAGAGAATGGGTAACATGACTCAAAATCGTTCATAATGGCTGAAGTGCGCTCACTCTTTATCGCTCCTTAGATAATAAATTTCTAATTTCCTTAAAAACTTATTTCACTAAATGGTATTTTCGTCTCGAATTGTATCTTCGATGCCTAACCTTTTCTATTTCGACTTGTACTGTTGATACCTGTACTACTATAGGATTCTCCTGGACAATTTTATCTCGTTGTACAATGGGGTATGGCAACCTATAGCAGTGTGATTGACAGATGAATAGGTTCTTATAACAAAGTAATGTGCTTGAATGCAAATAATCAACAAGAGAATGATATCAAATGTAAACAACTGACCCGTGTCAATATTTTACGTCGTTTACCCTCCAATGAACTATTCATTCTGACTATAGCCCATCTTATCAGCGACAATGTCCTTCAACATAACAATCCTCTTCAATTTCAAATATTTAATTGAAAATTATGATACTCGCTTTACTTGCTTTCATATATGTGGCTAAAGTAGAGAATTCACATCACCAAATTCCCGTCTCACAATACTTCCCTTACGAAGTCAAAAAATGTATGAAACCTTTTCACGGATTAAGCAATCCCTGGGTTAGAAAAAAGGTACTAATTAAGGATGACAACTCGATTGCTGAGGTAGTAAATCTTCATCAACTTATGTGGTTGGAGCATGGTTTGCGCTTACCAAACCAACTACTACGTCGACTGGAAATGTTGCCTAGCGTATGAATAGAATGGAAGAGCACCAAACCAAAACGTGGCACCAGTCCATAAAGTTATCGGCAACTGGATTAAGCCATGTAGGTAGGTGCAGACCACCCGGTTTGTAGGTGTGTAGTTATCGTAACCAATGGTAAAGATTTTAATTGACAACAGCACATGTGCATCTGTCCTTTGCATTTCCTCAAATTATAATCTGAAGTCTTCTTGATGTTTATTCCACTAATTTATACTTATCAAATCTTCTATGTCTAATCATTTCAACCACCACCATTCTGGGGCGTTTCTTTACTAAAATCACCGAAAACAATATCATTTTGGGTAACAATATCAACTCAGTTCACGATTTACTTGGATTTGATTACATGCTGGCTACTTTTTATTTATTTAAACATAAAGATTGGTGCAGGGGGGCACCAAATATTTTTACACTACACATCATTTGATTTATGTTTTGGCTGGAATATTGCCTAGGTTACCAGACCACTCCTCGAGCCTTTTACTTATAGGTCCGGTCCACAAGGCAGTGGGGCAACGTTAGGAGACGCGATCCCGTGGCCATGGTAGCCGATGACTAATAGTCGGTTCACGACGATTTTTTCTCAGGGTTCATGAGCCCGTATGCACCACCGTTTTCGAATCAAGATTTTCCAAATTCCCTAAGTGAATTCCCAGAACCCACTAGCTTGATTGAAGCGTGGAGCGTTCGACTTCGTAAACAACAGCCTCACTGCGAGAAGGCAGTAAGACTTCCTTGCTAGTGGTCGTATTCGCGTGACTATATGAGAACATTTGGAGAGAGAGAGAGAGTGAATTCTTCCCACCTTCAACTGTATCAAAGCATGTCGGTGCTGGCTACTTTATGGGTCTTGTTTTGTTTTCTACTACATTATAAGTTACATCGTGATAAAATACTGTATACGATCACCATCGTCAATTATACTACTCACACTAGTTTCAAAACTTGAGATCCACTTATCTGACATCTTTTCTTACCTGAGCAGTAACTTTTCAAATCGTTTATATACCTTCACCTTGAAAAGACAGTAGGATTTTTCTGCTAGTGGTCGTATTTGCGTGACTATATGAGAGCATTTTGAGAGAGAGTGGAATCTTTCCACCTTCAACTGTACCAAGGCATTTGAAGGTTCATATATACGGTCTGTTGGTTAAGAATCAATTATCTTAACCACTGAGCTACTATACTATTTGCGAAACGCTCCACGAATTTCGAGTTCTGCCCGGCTAACCTATATGAAGATGAGGTAATTTAAAAGTCGTCCATACCTATTGACAGTACTTTTAAGCCTTATTATGCAACTTCACCTAGTCCACGAAATTACCATTGAGGTATTGCGAGATCATATGAATAAATCTATCAGAAAATTAGAACATTATATCCGGCTGATTGTACGATAATAAATTGAATAGAGGGGATAAGTGGTCTGCTGAAAACTTCACCAACAGGGACATCAACTAATAATTTTGAAGATCAATACTCGAATTCGTACACCATTACGTGTAATGTACGTGATTCGGCATATATTCCAGATATCTGATGAACTCTACAGTCACGAAAATATTTGATTTGAAATAGTAGTCAACCAGTACTCATCTTTAAAGAAATATTTGGTGTTTAGCTGTTTATCATTTCATGTTTCTGTTAACTCATTGAATATGCATTTATCTGGTGCAGTGTGTGGTATTAGGTTGGATACCATTGAACAGGAAGCAATGGTTACTTCACTATCCATCCTCGACGTTCAAAAGAATGTGCATATGTAATACATTCAAAAACAGAATGGATGTACTTTGCAAGTATATATTAGAAATGGCTATCTTCAAGTTTCTCCCGTCAGTATTTATTTTTAATAAATTTCCTTTGTCAGATAATCGGTTAGCGAACATGTACTTTTCTCATGTAAATATTAACTAGTTTTTTGATTGATGATACGGCTTTTAGACAATGTAAATGTTGTGTCTTTTGTATGTCTGAAAAATAGAAGGATTTTGTGTTGTCTGGTTGGTAAAATTAACATATGTGCTATGTTTTAGTTTTACAGAGTAAAGTGACAATTACTTGATTGTTTTATTTTTATTGCTGGAAATGAACTCTAATTAAAATATTATTAATGGTTTAAAATTCTAGACTCCGGAAGCTGCAAAACAAGCTCGAGCTAAATTGGAATACTCCGAGCTATATTTAGGTGTTCCACGTCGTTATGTAGGACGTTTGATCGGAAAAAGAACCTCAAATATTATGTCCATTATTCGTAAATCTGGTGTTGTTCACATTCATTTCGATGATCATATTGAAGGCTCCGTGTCTCTCAGCGATGATAATAACCAGACTGATGTTATTAAGTATTCCCATCCAGGGCATCCTATAGCAAGCACAATGCGACGAGTCTTTCTAAAGGTAATGATCATACATATCTTTTTGTTCACCTAATATTCTGTGTACATACTAATACACCCGGGCAGTATCACAGCCCTCACACAAATTTAATGAGATTTGTGTGGCGCATATGTATTTGGTACCTCCTTGTACGACTATCTATGTTAAAATAAATAAATAAATAATCACAATACGTTTATATGCCTAAACGTATTAGTTTGACAAACTGAGTATTCTAGGTTCTTTTTAGTTTTTTATATATGGGTGGTTCAATATATCTTTAGCTTCTCCATTGGATTGTCTGTCAACTTTTAGAAGAGCTTATACACCGGTCTACAATATCATCAAACCTAATCATTTTACGTTAGTTAGGTGGTGGTAGTGATTTTTATATGGCTTTTCATTCTTGAAATTTATGTGATTTACATTATTCTAAAAAAAATAGAAGTGATGTCACATCTATAAATATCTTAGAAAGTCGTTAGATGAAGAAAATACATCTAAAACAACAATTGTTTGCACTCTCAACATATAATTAAGTGCCTGGAAAAATAATATTATTTATACCTTAATCACTCCTCAGTTTTGTATCAATTTTTCTTTGAAGTTTCATCTTATTGGTTACTCTTTCAAATGTATTCGTGATTTATACGAATATTCGTCAATATTAGAACTACTAACAGTTTGACAAACATTGGGTCCCGAGTATAAAGAAGACATAGTATTTGTAAATTATATTTGAAATAATCTCAGCGTTTGAAATTTAAATAGTCCCAACGTTTTGTCCCGCGAATCTATCTGAACTTCTGAAGAAATAATATTAAAGTAGTTCAGATAAGTTTGTTGGACGAAACGTTGGAATTATTTAAACTTTAATCGTTGACATTATTTCAAAAATAATTTTAACACATAATGTATTCCAATAGTCAAATAAGATCACAGGATAGAAAGTCATCACCATCCATTGCGAAACATAAGGTTGATATCAAATCAGCATTTGTTGTGTTGTACAAAAGCCTTCAAGGACGTATACTAAGGTTATACGAAAATTAGAACAACACATAAGCGAACAATGGTTTTCAATTAGATCATCAGGCTTTACTCTAATATACATGAATATTTATACAAAAATGTAAACCAATCAAAGCAATATGAATCAGTAATCACAATGAAATAGAAAAAAATCGAAACCCCCTTTATGTGTTCAAAAACAATTTGTGCTTACACTTAACCTACCCTAGTAGTACTGATTTACTATCCAGAGTGGTAATGATATTTGTTTTTGTGTACTTTAATATTTTTTCTTTGTTTATGACTTACCCTTAACCTGTCTAGTTGACCTTTTAATTTTCATATATAAATGTTCTTAACAAGTATATGTGTGATCAGACTGTTCGAAATGTATTGCGCAAATATATCAGACAATTCTGATAAACTACCCAACCGTTGTTGCTACCTTGACGTGGTGGTCGGGCTTGCCAATTGTGATGAAGCAACCGACCTATACTGACTGGAACTGTTCCACGTCAGAAAGGTCGGTTGAAGAGCGGTAAGACTAAAAGCAACAAACCCTAGGTCCGAAGGCGAAGTCATACTGCTGACTGTACAGAGGTGTGACAGCAGTAAGGTGTTTCCTTCAGACAACCAGCATGACAGCTATGCTGCCTTCCCACAAGGAGGGGTGGGGTTAGAAAAGGTCGACCCTAAAAATGCACACCTCGTCTTATCCCACGGATATCCGTCTCCGGCGGTAAGGTCTCAACAAGTACAGAGCTAACGCAAAAATTACCCATAAAAAGGTCGTGTGTGACCGACCTCAAGCAGTTGTCCCTTGGGCACTGCGGTCACGCTCCCAGGTCACTAAGACCACTTCTAATCCGATTTCCTTTTCAGGTACCTCCAGAAAAACCCTTCTACGGTGTGGGCAACCCGGAAGTGATAACCGCCCTCATACCTCTAACAGCACTCAAGACCACTGGATTCATAATCAACCTCCCTCTTCAATTCCTATTATTCCTCCTACATCAACTTCAAACTCTAAACTTCTTTTTTCGGCTTCCTCCTCAAGTGTCACCATAGCCAACGGTTCTAGTGCTCAAAACACTGTTCCAGGCCTACTGAAACCTTGCTCCACACTACACATTGGAGCCTTCAATGTACACACCCTATATCAAATCGGTCAGCAGGCTTCCTTGGCTAAAACCCTAGAATCTCGTACCATTGATGTATGCTGTGTCTCCGAAACACGCATACAGGATCCCAGTGTGGTCATTCACTTGACCTCACCTCGGCAAAACGGAGAGCCAACGAGATACACCCTTCGTGTATCTGGTGACCCGATGGCCAGTTCTCGTGGACTGGCAGGAGTAGGGATAGCACTAAGCATGAGGGCCGAACAAGCACTGTTAGAGTTGATCCCCGTCTCACTGGACGCAAAAAAGCTACATTAAAAAGACCCATTAGAACTGAGTTGAGTAACGACAGAACCAAAAGTAAGTTCCAGGAACAACTGAGGTCACACTTAGGTAGTTCTGAAAGCGAGGCTGACCCAGATGTTGCTTGGAAAGATATACAAACAGCTGTGGAAACAGCAATGAAATCTATTAGTGACTTAACCCACAGAGTTACAAAGAACCAGTGGATTTCTTCAAAGTCTATCACACTGATGGATTCTCGCAAACTCGTCCGATCAGGTTCCGAACATGATGAAGAGCGACAAGAATTCAGATCTAGGTTAAGAAAAAGTCTAAGAAACGACCGTGAGCAGTGGTGGGCAACGAAAGCAAAAGAGATGGAAAAGGCGGCGGCTATAGGGAACACAAGACAGCTCTACAGACTAATAAAAGAAACTGGAGCTAATAAGTCAAGTGTAAGTGAGATTATTTCGGAAAAAGACGATACTCTCATCTACTCCCAGTTCAGACGTTTTGAACGATGGGCGGAACACTTTAGGGAACACTTCAGCGACTCTACAACTACCGTCCATTCCCAGACAGTGTGAATGGAACATTGAAGTAGATCCCCCAACTCTAGCAGAAGTTTAAAAGGCTTTTGTTAATCTGAAACGAGGAAGGGCAGCTGGTCCAGATGGACTGGCTCCGGAAGTCTTTAAGGATGGTGGTCCAACTTTAGCGGTTAGGTTGACTAATATTTTAGCTAAGATCTGGGAGTAAGATGTTATTCCATCTGACTGGTCGCAATCACTTATCGTCCCAATATATAAGAAAGGATCAAAATCATCTTGTGACAACCACAGAGGGATTAGTTTAACAAATATAGTATCTAAAATACTAGCCTCAATAATAATCAGACGTTTAACTAAGACTCGTGAACTGCAAACACGAGAAAACCAAGCTGGCTTCAGACCTGGTCGTGGCTGCATCGACCACATATTCACCATTCGTCAGGTTCTAGAACACAGGCATACTTATCGGCGTCCGACGATGGTGGTCTGTCTTGACTTAAAAGCAGCATTTGACTCGATAGACCGCGAGATTCTGTGGCAGTGTCTGTCATTGAAAGGCGTACCCCAGAAGTACATAAACCTTGTAAAGGCTCTTTACTCGAACACTACTAGTCGAGTCAGAGCTTATGGCGAACTGTCATCTACTTTTGTAACCTTAAGTGGTGTCCATCAAGGCTGTCCACTTTCTCCATTTCTGTTTAACTTCATCATAGACCTACTGATGGAAATAAAATTCTCGGGTATTGATCTCCTTCCAGGAGGTCCACTTATCGACTTAGAATACGCAGATGATATAGTCCTGTTTAGTGAAGACTGATAACATGCAGTCTTTTGGTAGCACTAAGCAACAATGCCAGAATGTTTGGAATGCACTTCTCTCCCTCTAGGTGCAAGTTGTTGCTTCAGGACTGGCCTGGTTCAACACCTGAACTAAGGATAGAGAGAAGATATTGGTACGTTACTAGTATTTGATTTCAGATGTTTTAGAAATATTGTTTGTGTCTGCTGGGATAACTGGGTAACTAATAGTGAGGTTAGACGCAGGGTATTAGGGAATGATGGTAAATCAGTTGATGAGGTTGTTAATCTTCATCGACTGAGATGGTTGGGCCACGTGTTACGTTTGCTTGAACACCGATTACCACGTTGTGCAATGCTAACGGGTGTTAGAGATGGTTGGAAGAGAAGTAGGGGCGGCCAAACCAAAACGTGGCATCAGTGCTTGAAGACACTAACTTCTAGTCTGAGCCATGTTGGTAGATGCAGACTACTTGGTTGGGGTCCGCGTGACTTTCGTAACCGATAGTTGGAGACTTGGTGACATGGCTCAGAATTGATCACAATGGCGTCGGTGTATACACTCACTGTCTTCCCTTAAACTAAGAAATTAAAGTCGCTTCATATCTTTCTTTCTACGAACTAATTCTATATTCCGGTACTGTATCCTTATATGCCATCTTTCTCCTATATATTACGACCTTTAACCTAACCACTCCTATGAATATGGTGTTCATCTTGCTATGCTAATGAGGTATGGCAACCTGGACCGATGCATATATGTGCCTGGTCCTACGGTGTAGCTGACTGACTGATAAACTACGTCTTCTCATTGCATTATCGAAATGTATTCATCGTTATTTAAGAAAACCATTCTATTTACTTTTGTTTGAGGAACTGGTTAGTATATTTGTTTTCATCAAAAAACGCAACTCATGTCTGAGCTCATAAACATTTTTACTTGTACTGAATTGGATTCACTGATACATTGATCTTAAATACATGTTCCATTATCCATAAATGAAAATTGTCACTAATATATTAATAGCTTTAATTGAACCATTATTTTCGTTCATTCCTTTCTACAAGGACACATGATTACGCGAAGCTTTCTGTTTTCCTTCTAATCACTTGCAAATGAAATTTTGAACTAAAAATGAGTAAATATTGACTATTTTTTATTCTGAATAGTCTACCACATATTTTTCGTCATTTGGGTGAACAATCGAGTTCTTAACGTCGCAATATAGATGTATCGAAATAAGAATCCGTGATTTCTAAAAATAAAAATAATCATTCAACACAACTCAAATATTTCTTTCTAGCTACTAGCATCATATATTTTCAATTGAGCTTTGCTTCCTATCCATTCACAGATATTAAACTTTTAAAATACTTTGGTTAATCAGGTATAGTTAGAGGGTGGTTGATTACTTTGTGTATTTATTGCATGCCGGACATGTGATGGTAACCGTGCTCGCTAATTGCCAGTGTTGACAGTAGATGGAAACAGATATAGACTGGATTGTGAATAAAGCTAAAAAATAGGAGTTTGATTAACTTCCTCCAATCTCATTATTACTCGCTCAGTGCTACATTTTATTAATATTACTTTAAGTTGGTAATTGTTCTCTTACGTCAAAACATTAAATTTTATTTTCGTTAGTCTTAAGGTTGCAAGTGTATATATATTTTTTTCGAGGTCAAAATTATTGATCTGTTCTTAGACAATTTTAATCTTCAATAATTGAATTCATGAGTCACTTGAAGCTAGACCACCATGGAAAACCTGGATGGCCGTCTCGTCCCAGTATGGGATTGGTTGAAGTTAGATATTAACACCGTTGGATGCCGGTCAGCTCAATGGTTTAGTGGTTAGGCGGTTGCGCGCAAGACTGATACGTCCTGCGTTGGAATCTCGCAAGACAGGATCGTGAATTCGCGTTGTTGATGAGTCCCACAATTGACCGAAACGGCTATCCAGTGCTTCCAGTTTTTCCATGGTGTTCTAACTTCAATTGACTCGTTATTTCAACTGTTGAAATTACTAAAATTTCCACAAAACTCCTGATATTGTTAATTTCGTCAAATTTTATAGGCTGGAAGTGCTCAGACATCCTCACAACCATATACAGATGAGGAATACGGTGGATTCATACTAGCTGGTACAAGGGACTCGATCGAAAAAGCGCGTTTGTTGATCAACTTCCAAATGGATTATTTTTATGATCTTGAAAAAATGGAGGTTAGTTATAAATGGCGAAATTCTGTGCAGTATTTGTGGCAGTGTACATTCCAAAAGTTTGTTTTTCGTCGTGTCAATTTGTTATAATGGGCGTTGTTTAAGATATATATATGCACTTCATGTTTTTTATCCCATATAGTGTACATGTAGTTTAAAGAGCTGCACTACTAAAAGCAGCAAATTTAGGGTCGAAGAGCGAACTAGTTCTGCTAACTGGATTGAGATGTTACGAAGTATGGATTTCTCTCATAATTGACTAACATTCCCAGCCATGTTCCCTTTTCTATTGCAGTTTTAAGGCATCCACTAAAGGTAAATAGCTTCAAAACCGTAAAGACATATTCGAACTGTCGTGTATGTTACAGAAAAATAATCGAGCAATCTTTATTCTTAATATCTTCATTGAGTCCTCCCTGTTAATCGGTGACGATGCTCAGTTATGTAAAAGTTTCTATATCCAGAATTTGTCCATCAAGTGTGATTGTATTGGTATTCTCCTTGTTGTATTTGAGGATTTTGCTTTTTCCCTTGTGTATGTTGAAGACCATTGCTTCTGAGGCTACTGTTACACTGTTTGTCTTCACCTGCATTTGTTCGTGTGAATGGGACAGAATGGTCAGGTCATATGCCATATTCAAATCTTGTAGTTGCATCCAAGCTGCCCATTGTATTCAGTTTTTCCCCTCAGATCTTGAGGGCTTCATAATCCATGCTTCTTTGGGTACTATTACTACATCTCCTTGTTTGTATGAGACATTTCCTTCTTCATGATCAGAGTATAACAACCTATCTCATGAAGCTAATTTTTACTGTTTATCTTATTCTGAGCACCTTCATGTTAGATATTATTTCCATCGCTACTTGTCTGATCCTTCCCCATCCTCCAGACAGTCCAGGTATGTTTTGCTGTAATTATTCGAATGGACATCGACCTCGTGACTACGGAATAATTTTAACTTTCACTATAAAATGTCATAACTCACCTTCTAAGGCAGAGTTTAAATTATTTTTCTACTCCACTCACAACCCTTCTTTGTCCGGGAGTTGGGCCATGGTTGGAATTAGTAAATTTGTTCATATTGATTCTCTTTCTCTAAACGTTAAACACCAAAAATATATTTTGTACACTTGACTTTTATTATTAAGCCATCTAGATATTGTTTTATTTTCATTGGGATTATTATAAGCTGATACACTTTTCACTTCAGAATTCTATCATTACAGTTAACAGATTATTTTCTTTTTATTGCATCATTAATAAGAGCGAAAAGCTGGAGTTAATGCGTACTTTATCTCATGGTGGAGTGGACTCTGGTTCAGGCTACCTACCTCGTGGTACGGCAGTCGGGCGTTGGGGTGAACGTGGTGGTATTGGAAATTATGGCCGTGGTGGTCGCGGACGCAGACCAGGTCGTGGTGGTCTGTTACATCCTCCTGTTAGTGATGTCAATCATGGACATTATACAGATGATGAAAATATTGGAAATCCAATCCCCTGTAGAGGCGCAAAACGTACGGTATGCAGTTAATTATCTGTTCAATGGTCTTCTCGTGCTATTTTATTTGTGACATAATACGCAATTAATCGCATAATAAATAGTGATTCAGAATTCAACTAAACTGAATGAGTAAAAATTTAATGAACACATTGTTTGAATGTCTCAATTACCAATCAGGTTAAAGGTTAGAAAGATAACAAAATTATGATGTTTGGCATGTTATTTGATCTTCGTTGTCTAGTGTTCGTAAATAGAATCAAATATTGGTATAATCTAACCTTTAGTTTACTCCTAGCTATGTTTTACTGTGTTCGTTGTGACATATTTTGTGTATAATCCTAAGACATCTTCCAGACAATCGTTGTATTTTGTACGCATTCAAATGACTATGTTAAAAACTACCAGCAATTTGAATTGTTCGCCACATTATTGTAGAGTTTTTGTGGCTGCTGTGTAGTGTACCTCTGGTAAACTCTTGTATGCTATCCTAATAGTGATATTATCGATAGAAAATATAAAGTCTATCGTCGTGCTCTACAGCATGTTAAGTATTACTAAAAAGGCTGCAGAATTCAAGCATCAAATTATTAATGTTTCTATATTTTGTCAAGAAAATTTGCTGACAAAATCTTTCTTGTAATGAGATCCGTGTTCAAAATCATTTCTTTTCAACCCGTAGACCATGTTTGATATATCAGTGGCAACTCGAACTGATGTACGTACGTACAAAGTCCCACGTTGTTACTGACTGACTAGTAGGCATGCGCCAGTAAAACTCTTGATTAATCTAGGGTGATTCACAATTGAGTTTTGTTCAAATCATGATTCCTCTTCGGAAATAAATATTTCATCAGAAAATCTTCCCGAGAATTTTGTTTTTAAGAGCTGAACAATTATCTTTATATGAAATGATTAATGTTCTTCAATTTTTATGAACATCTAATCCATTAAATATAATCATATAATTTGGCAGAATGACGATTTATCTGTTTTGCTAATTGAATTACAGCCTCGTGAAACATACGGTCACCGTAGTTCTGGTGGAAGAATCCCGCGACAAAGAGGAAGTCGGCGAATAGGAGGTTCAGGTCGCGATTCTAATTGGAATAACCTCATGAACAACAACGGGGATGTCGCTGACCGTCGTCGAGGTTCGGGTGATTCGGATGTCTTAGAGTCTGACAACTTACCTGATGGTTTGTCTGCAGAACGAGTAAACGTTGGAAGACATAGCAGAGTAGGACGTCATTCTCCAGCTCCAAATGGATTTTATTCTGATAGAGAACGTGGGGACGAAAGTGAGGATACCCTCAATCCTAGCAATGAAAACAATTTCCCTTGTGGTGATGCGTCTTCCGAAGACGGTGGGGGTTGTTCAGTTGACAATATGCGCTCAAGACTGAATAAATATGTACATAGTCGGTAGGTAGCTTGTTAATTTTGAAAACCGGTTATATTACGTTTAATAATCAATTTAAAAATGGCAGGACGTTTCTTTATCTGCAAACAGTTTACAGTTATGGGCGAGATCTACTAAAAAATAGAATTTTTTAAAGCAATTAAACACAAAATATAAACAAATCACAAATCATAATAAACGTTAATAGTCTGAAAAATAGGAGACACGTGTTACCCGTTTCCATTTTAGTTGCAAACTTTTCAAGGGTAATCACTGACAGCACTTCTGGGCGTAAACCAAGGATAATGTTGGTTCTATATCTAAGGTCACTCTTGAAAACGCAGTATTATTATTTATTTGAGCATAAACTGGTGCCCAAACGGATGTGTCACGTAACCAATAAAAAATAAACAAAACTAACGAGTGTAGTGTGCTGCGAAAGTAGAAATTTAGTTTGAAAATAATAGCCAGAAAAATTTTCAGTAAAAGAAGTGCCTTTCAGTTTTATAAAAGTAAATCTCAGCAGGCACGTTGTTCTGAGTCATATTTGATTACGTCAAAAGCCACTGAGTTGAACTGTCTCTGACTGTCCAGGTAATCGTAATGGACTAATATTTTATAGCCCCATACATTTTTCTTTCAAACCACGAGGCTACAAACTGACCACTTGTTCGCTTTTCTTACCTCATCCCAGCGTCGACAACAGTGCACTGTGTGGAAGTTGCTTGGATGACACACGTAACATATCCAATCCTATGTTTCAATATGGTTATATTAACGGAATTATTACTACTATGTCTAGACGCACATTACTGGCATAGTTTTACAATTGAACGCCAGCAATTCAGAGACAACGACGATCGAACACAGAGGGTCGCCGAACATTCTCAACTCGAATAGGTCAGGTTTCGCAAACACAGCAGGACTGCTATCACCAAAGCATTGTAGACCCGACCATTTGCACTCAGACTGTCATCAAAGGTGGTCCAATATAGGTCTCATCATTCACGCCACCACCAACGCTCATAGAACTACCCGAACACACGAACTTTTCGACCACCTTTAACAGCTCACCACCAAGAGTGAGGCTTCTGCCAATCGTAGAAGTACTCTGCACTTATAAAGTGCAAAGTATATGCCATGCCTACTGACTGGACGCGATTTGCGTAGTATGTGTATCATCGCATATTAAGACAATATCACACATGATTCGCTGGAGTATCCCAAGCAGCTGTAGAGAAGCATTGCTTATAAGCGCAGGACGTTTTGAGAAGTCACGTGAGACGTGACCTGTAATTTTCATGGCGTCTTGCGAACGCAGCCGGTGTTCATCTATTATTTATTTATTTATTTGAACACAAATATTGGTACAAGAGAGCGCCAATGTATATGCGCCACACAAAACAATGAAAATTCGAAGAGAGATAGAAAAAAACTAAGTAGCACAAAAGAAAAAGAGAACGATAACGAAGAGATTGGTTTTAGGTAGTGTGGTATTAACGAGGGAACGGAAAGGTACAATCAGAAGAAATCTTTCAATAACGGAGACACAACCACTTTTTATGAAGAAATTAAAAGAAGGTTACAGCAGGATCGCCACTGTGTAGCACCATCTCCCAGACCCCAACGAGGGAGTCGTGAAGGACCGACACAAGCCAGTCCTTTGCAGCTTTCTTTCATACCACGACACCATGTCATGCACTGCCCACCTCCGCTTTTTCCAACCAGTCCCAGAGTCGGCAAATAATGCACGACGTGGAATTCTCTGGGACGACATTGGTAGAACATGTCCAAGCCACCGAAGTCGGTGTTTCAAGATGGTGACACCAATTGAATTATCATCTCTGTGCCCGAACACACGATGCCGAACCTCTGTATTACTAACATGGTGTTGCCACTCAATGTCAGCGATCCTTCGGAGACAGGGATGATCGAACACAGAGTCGTCTAACGTCCTCAACTCTGAGAGGCCAGGTTTCACAAGCATAGAGCAAAACTGCTCTCACCGACACGTTGTATATCCGACCTTTTACAGCCAGACTAACATCACGAAGGCGCCAAAGGTGGCCCAGATTGGCATAAGCCGCTCTGGCTTTCACTATACGTGCATTGATCTCATCACTCACACCCCCATCAGCACTTATGCAGCTACCCAGATACACGAACTTCTCGACTACGTCTATCTGCTCATCATCCAGGGTGAGTACAGGATTGGAATCCTGCCAGTCTTGTAGAAGTACTATGCACTTCGAAGGTGCAAAGCACATACCATACCTACGGACACTGATTGCCAACTGATTAAGTGCGAATTGCATGCCTTGGGCATTATCGCACAGTAAGACAATATCATCCGCATACTCAAGGTCGAGAAGTCCTTCTCCAGGCAACAGATCCACACCACCATTACTTACATCCATCAGAGCTGTTTCCAGAATGTCATCGATGGTGAAGTTGGTGAGGAATGGTGAGATTAGGCAACCCTGCCTAACCCCACTGCTCGAATGGAACAATGGAGAGAGGTGGTTGTATGCCCTCACTCTACCTGAGGTGTTTTTATATTGGGCTTTTAGGATGTTAATAAACTTCTCAGGCACACCCTTCTTCAATAGACAATCCCAGAGAACAGTCCTGTCCAACGAATCGAAGGCAACCCTGATGTCAAGAAACACTACGATTGTTGGCCTTTGATAAGTATGGCGATGTTCCAACATTTGGCGGAGGGTGAAGATATGATCAATACAACCTCGACCAGAACGAAACCCAGCCTGCTCCTCGCGAGTCAATCTTTCTCGGGTTTTGAACAACCTACGAAGTATGACGGAAGCCAATAGCTTGGACGCAACGGAAGTAGACTTATCCCCCGATAGTTGTTGCAGGAACGACGTGAACCCTTTTTAAAGATAGGGACAACTATCGACTCATTCCATGACGTTGGTACACTCTCTAATTCCCAAACCTTTGTAAACAAAGTCGTCAATTCCTTAGTCAAAATGTCACCACCATCTTTAAAAAGAGCCGGAGGTAAGTCATCTGGGCCAGGTGATTTGTAACGCTTCAAGAGTTGGAGTTCCTTGTGGACTTCCTCCTCGTTTGGTGGATCAGTCGTCACCGGCCATGGAGGGCAGGACAGTCTGACCGATGTTGCCGGAGCAGCTGGCCAGTTGAACTGCCCTTCGAAAAATTCTTCCCATCGTCCAAGACGTCGATGGATGTTAGTGATTGGCATCCCATCATCCTCGCAGATTGTTTCACTCACACCAGACTTCTTGCTGCCAGTGGCTCGGATGACCTGGAAGAGCTTCCGGTAGTTACCAGATGCAGCTGCTGCTTCCAGCTCATTAACACGCTCCGACCACCAGGCTTCTCGGTCCTTATGCAAGCTTTGCCCAATTTCCTTACGTAACATCCTTCGTTTATGGTCAAACTCACGGTCACCCGGAGTAGACCGACGGGCTTAAATGAGTTGTAAGGAACCAGAAGAAACCCAGTGCTTAAAAGCAGGACGTTTCGCAAACCCACCACTGACTGTTCCTGCCATTTTCATGGCGTCATGCAATTGCGACCAATGCTCAACTATACTTTTCGGTGGAGTGGTAGCTAGCCTAGAGGCTAGCTCGGTTCGATAATTATTTGCAACCAGCTTGCTAATATCAATCCTTTGCTGGCGGTCACCTCGTTGTCCACTGAAATGTAAGGCAAGATTGGCGCAGACCAAGGCATGGTCAGAGTCCAGATAGGTACTCCAAAAAGAGCGGCAGTCTTTTACACAACCACGCCAGCGGTAGCTGATCGCGATGTGATCAATCTGAGTCCAGGCTTGGGATGCAAAGGGAGGACGCCAGGTGGCACATCGGCGATGACTGTGCCGAAAGTTAGTGCTAGACAGAAACAGGTTGTGGTCTGTGCAAAGTTGCAGTAGACGGTCTCCGTTATCTGACCTGCAAACAACGAGTCCCCATCGGCCACCTAAACGACTCTCTTCTGTGCCTAGACGCTCGACCTGAGCATTCAAGTCTTAAGACAACAAACCTGCACTAGTGTGCGAACGTTGAAGGCAGCCAGTTTGAATGGTGCATGTGGTTTCAGAAAAACTGCTTCAGTTCTCGTATTCGGTGGTAACATACAATTTTCAACCGAACAGAGACTCGAGAACGTTTAGATAGAGTCGAATTTCCACCAAAGACGAGCCGCTGTATAAGTATAAAAAAGGGTGAATAATGTGGAAAATAATAATAATAGTAATTATAATGACAATAATTGTAATGATAATAATTTGAATCATTTTATTGTTTTTCGAAGCGAGAAAGGTAATTTCCATAGACATAAAGAGTTCATCATTTGTGTGTGGGCTGTGATATTGCCCGGGTGCCCAAACCGAAGCAGGTGGTTATCTTAGGGGGCCACCCCCCGAGCCTTTGACTTAATGGTCTAAGCCACAAGGCAGTGGAGCATCGTAAGGAGATGCAATCGCATGGTAGCCGGTGACCAACGATTGGTTCATACGCCATTTGTTCCCGCAGGATACTGGAGCCCATGTGCACCATTGGTTTGTGATCCGGTTAAAGCGCCGGACGTTCGCTTTTCGTCCTCTCATTTTCGTAAACAACACTCCCGTCACGAGAAGACAATGAGTAGGACTTCCCTGGCGGAGGCTGTATACGCGCGGTCGTGTGAGAGTATTTCGAGAGGGAGAGCGGATTCTCGGCCGTACCAGAGCGTTCATCCATACTTTTCGGTAAATTGAAAGCTAGGCTTGATGTTTAGTTGCAACAAAATCTGCAGCCAATTTACTCAAAACAATCTGTTCAGGACGATGAACATTTTGGCCACTGAGACGTAACATGAGATTAGTGTAAACAAGGGTATGATCAAAGTCCAGGTATATACTCCAAAAGGAACAGTATAACCACGCCAACAGTAACTGGTCACGGTGTGGTTAATCTGAGTCGACGACTGGGTTGCAGAGGTAGGGTTCCAGGTAGCACACCAGCGATAACTGCAGGAAATCTGACGTTCAGAACTAGGTTGTGGTCTTCTCAAGTTTTCAGGAGACCGTCATCGTCATTTGTTCTGCAATCAACGAGTCCCTACTGGTCACCCAAGCTTTCGACCAAAGGATCTAATCCACAGTAGAGTGAAGTGACATCACAAAATGCAGTACCATGGTAGCCGGTGATCAATGTCTGTTCATGCACTTTATTTCCACATCCTAGAATTCATATGCATCACCGGTTTAGAATAAGGGTCTTTTTAACTTGCATCCGTACCCGTTAACCCGCTTCGGTCGCTGGATATTCGCCTTTTATCACCCCACTTCTGTAAAAAGCACCCCCACTGTGAGAATGGAGTGGATTGAAGTCCTCTGTCAGCGGTTATGAATGCGTAGCCATATGAAAGCATTTCGTGAGGAAGAGAGAACTCTGTCTACCCTTACTTGTACTATGACATTTAGAAGTCCAGTTTCGTTTATCGATTCAACTCTCCACTCAATCGTGGCATTTACTCAGTTGTCTCACAATACGTCACTGGTACTTCGAAGTTTTTGCGATTGAACACCAACAATTATAAGATAAAGGTACGGACATCTTATGTCCTCGGACAATTGGGAAAAGCTAGACGGGCTTTGTATCCGTGCCAAAATTTCTTGACAACCCACCAACCCAGCAGTGTTAAGATTCACAAGATAAAAATTACTTAAAGTAGCTCGTTCTCCAGGTACTCGGGTATAAGCCACACAATTATTGTAAAGGCTAATAAAACCACCAAGCTGACGCTAACTATCTCAAGGCACTATTCTTCAGGGCATCCCATGTCAGCTTATCAGGCCTTACTGCACTTCCACTCTTCAAGTTTATTATAGCTTTCTAGTAGTTAGATGCCAATTTTCTCATTCCATCAGCCGAGTGTAGTAGTATGAACACACAGTTATTAGTTTCCTTGTCTTCTACAGTGGTAATTTGAATGTGACCGTTTTATTATGACTCATATGAGGTACGACCTCAAAGGTGCCATTATTATTTGTTTTTTAGTCGTAACAGTAAATCACGTCCCCCACGTCGCTCACATCCAGCTCGTCCCCAAAATTCCGACCAGTGGGATACCAATTGTCAATTCAACAACGTCGATTCATCTCTTGGTAGTCAGAAGTTGCGTAGTGGTGGTCAGGGTAATTATTCTGCCAGACAGCAGTCGGCGCAAGTAGTATATCAGGAATAGAGATCCTTACACACTTTTACTGGATGTTTGTGTGTACCTCTTTAAGTTGAGTTAACGAAAAAACTTCTTATATTACATTCTCATATCTTCATTTCTTGTTGTTGTTTGAATATTGTTTCTTCTGTTACTTTCCCGGATTTATATATATATAGTCTTATATCGACAATGTTGTCTGGTTTTTCGCAAACATTATTACTAATACCCAATCTCATCTCCTTCATTTCTTACATACGAATACGTTACACATGTTTATACAACATTACAATTTCTTAAACCTGTGATTAGCATGCATATCTTATGTGGTTCATTAGTTTATTCGCGCTCAAGTAGCAGTACTTCATTTTAACCGGTTCCAGTCGTCTCATTCAGTACCAAGATTTTTAAGCAATAAAAGACAACCACTTCAGGTGTACTCATAAGAAACTGTTATGTCTTCATTTCTGTCACTTTCTAAGAATAATCACCTTTGAAATAACTACTTATCCACCGGTAACTGCGTTTTTCCATCTAAGTGTATTAACTAGTTCTAATTTATTCTATACGTTATCTTCTGAATAAACAATTTCTCTTCGTTACAATTTTCTCTTCATACATTTTTTCATACTTTCCTTTGTTAATGTGCCTTTTCAAGTCACTTGAACTTTCTAGTAGTATTTGTTATTTCTCATGCAAAAACTGATGAAAGCATAAAAGCTTTTGTCATTTTACAGTGGATAGTTTGTAAATTTTACTTATGTCTATGTGTTAAGCATGCTTGTG